TTAACGTGGATTCAGTGTGATGCTCCGTGTAGAAGCTGTGCAAAGGTAATGTCTGATTGTTCATCTCTAGAGTGTCAGTCAATTTCTCAAGATAATTTTATGTATTCATGTGTCATCAATCTCTGTCAAATTAGAGGCATATTGGGGTGCGTCATATTCTTGGATTGAGGTAGGATTTTAGCTTCTCATTGTATCTATATCTAGTTAATATGAACATACATGAAGGTAATAATTGGAATGTGCGCATATCCTGGAAAACCGTTTTGACCCAATGCATCCCTCCAAAGGAAAAACTAAAAATAGAAGCACAAAAATATGAGAGAGTATAGATGGTTAAGCCAACGAATAGAATATCAGCTGATCATAATGGTTATTTTTCAGATTTTAAATGGGTTTTTGAGATGGAAAAAATTTGTTTACTCAAAGGATATAGTTGATTTAGGGAGCACATCTCTTATACAAGCCAGCAAGAGGAAGCACAGTAGCACCTACGGATTCTCTTTGCACTGAAGTTCAGAAAAATCAGAGGCATGGAAATCATGACAATTTCCAACAGTGTGACTATGAGATTGAATATGCAGATCATAGCTCCTCCATGGGGGTTCTCGTTAGAGATTATCTTCATCTTGTCACAACAAATGGGTCCAAGGCCAATTTAAATTTAGTTTTCGGGTATGTATTTACATTTCTGTGACTCTCATTTTTTTTGGATATGTGTGTTCCATAAAAGTGCTGATTGTACCATTTCCATTCAAAGGTGTGGATATGATCAAGAGGGCTTACTTTTAAACACTTTGGCAAAAACAGACGGAATCATGGGACTCAGCAGGGCTAAAGTCAGTCTACCTTTTCAGTTGGCAAGCAAAGGGATTATTAAGAATGTGGTTGGCCATTGCCTAAGTAACCATGAAGCTGGTGGTGGCTACTTGTTCTTGGGTGACGATTTTGTGCCATATTGGGGTATGACTTGGGCACCCATGGTCAATGTCCTTACCACGTGAGTAGAGACCTCTGATGTCATTTCATAATCCCCACATTAATGTTTATTTCTTGATTTTCTGCATGTTTTCATTTGTGGTGCACTCTACCTGCATTTTCATTTCTTACCATCTTATTTGAGGTATTTGCGATTCCTTGTTTTGATAGTCTTGACTTCTACATGGAATATATTCTGTACAGAGATTTATACCAAAGCGAGATTCTGGGATTACGTTATGGAAATAGCCTGCTTGGTTTAAATGGACCCAGCAAAGTAGGAAAGGTGGTTTTTGATACTGGCAGTTCTTATACATATTTTACAAAGGAGGCGTATCTGAATCTCGTTGCTTCTGTGAGTTCTTTTTGTCTATATTGTATACCATCTGGATAACGATGAAAATTTCTTCCATTAAATTCGATGAATTTCATTGTTATGCATGTATTTGTGCAGCTTAAAGAAGTTTCTGAGCTTGGACTTGTCCAAGATGATTCAGATACAACTTTGCCTATTTGCTGGCGAGCTAATTTTGTGGTCAGGTATGAGAAATCATCTGATGGACCACGCCTTTGGATTAGCTTCAAGCTGTCTTATTTTTAATTTCTTTTGCCAGAACTCTGTTTTTAAATCATTGTTCCTTCATATGTTCTCTTCTTACTTTCTACATGGTTTCTCTGATCTTGATCTTGACTTCTGCATTTTTTTTTCCTGTAGACATGTATCCTAGGCACTAATCAATCTCCAACGTCTATCCCAATCCCATGTCCATTTGAAATATCAAAACACACGGGGTATATTCATAAACTGCTTAACTATCAATCCTGTAACCAAATAAAAAGAAACAATGAGGTATTTATCTGATTTATTCAGGAACTGGCTCACACATGAAGCAATCTTCGATTGCAGCTAGACACATCCGATTTTTCATATTCCAGTGCCATGTCCCATTTTCATCATAATGTCCAAGATTAGTTCTTTATTTTTGTTTTTCTAACGCTATGCTGTTTTAACTTTTGTTTAAAATACCTCGAGAGAAAAATGGGTATTATATTCTTTGCTTCAGTTTTGCTCACCTTAGAGCAACATCAATCATAATGACAGTCTGCTTTATATTTTGTGTATATATACATGCAGATCCGTCAAAGATGTCAATCACATCTTCAAGACTCTGACTCTTAAATTTGGAAGCAAATGGTGGATTTTGTCCGCTTTGTTTCATATACCGCCGGAGGGTTATTTGATTATAAGCGTAAGTATATGTCAATTTTAGTTCCAACCATAGTGTGAATGCTAGTTCCTTCAACAAACTGCTATGCTGCAGAACAAAGGGAATGTATGCTTGGCTATACTTGATGGCTCCGATGTACATGATGGATCCTCAATTATACTTGGAGGTAAATGAAAGCTTATCTATGTTCAAGATAATAATGCATATGGATTATTTTATATCTTATAGTCAAATAATATACATATGGATTGCTAACTACTCCAGATCCTAAATATAGGAGTTAGACAAGAGATTTGCTTTGGTAACATTATTCACTTTATCTTCTAAATTTATAATTGTTTTCTAAAATACCCCTATCGATCGTACATATTAAGAAAGTTTACATCAAGTGTAATCCCATGTACATGATTAGAAATGATATTTAGGAAAATCAACATTAATTTGTTATTAAAACTGACTAGACTAATTTTTTTAATATCTGTAAATTGGTTATCTGGTTTTTATATTAAAGACTGTAAGTAATACTTGAGAAACTAGAATACCCCTATGCCTAATGTCTTTATGCGTTTGACTTTTGCAGACGTCTCATTGAGAGGATATCTGGTTGTATACGACAATGTGAACCACAGGATTGGTTGGGAGCGAGCAGACTGTGCAGTGCCAAGAAGATTGAGAAAGTCACAGAAATTCGTACCCCAGTAGCAATAGCATGCCCTGATTCTCTCACCAAGAGGTGGAACATGTTATTATATCTTTTATCATTTTCCCTTTCATATTCTGAGGTGCTTTGAGCAGCAACTCGTTTTTCTAGTTTATTACAATCATATCTTTGTACAAATCTATCACCATCTCACTGTGTATATGTATAAAATAAATACGAGCGCATATATGTAGCACAAACACACAGACTGATAATGAACATCAAAGGTTATTGTATTCCTCTACCACTACATATCTGACTGATAAGTGGGAACTGGAAAGTAATCATCATTTCTTAGTTTGTAATTGCGTCGCTTAATAATAGATTAGTAACAAGTTTACTTTGGAGATGCATGTAATACAAAATTATCTGACAATATGATTAGCGTGCTTTATTTTTTTTTTTTAGAATTTTATATTTTTATTATTAAATTTAAAATTAAGAGGAATAAAAAATTAATTTGTTATATAAAAAAACTTATGTGAGTTGGGTTTTAAGGGTTTATTAAAGTTTACATGCTTTCTTACTCAAAAAACAGATCACCTATCAACAAGGTCTTCATATTGATAGTAGAATTTAAACTCATAATTTGTAAGTTATGAGTCGACTCTTATCAATTAGATCAACTCTTGTTAAATTAAAGAAATTAATGTTGCGATCACATATAATCAACTTTTTTCCTGAAAGCATCAAAATAATTCTTCAAAAAATAATGGTCTTCTATTGACCGGGCTTCATCTTAATAAAGAGTTACGACAACTTAAGTATGAGATATTAAATTTGTGAAATGATTTTCCACGATTAAGGCCCTCTATGACTTTAGTCAACGTTTCATGGTAAATAGGAGTGCTAATTTTCACTTACATTATTATGGGAAAATTTGTTGCTCATTTCCAAGATGAAAATAGTGAAGAAATTTACTAGCGGTCTACCAAATATAGGTGTTGATTATCTTGATTCTTTATACATTTTTTTAAAATATTTTTTTTCACCAAACATGATCTAACTCTTCAAGAATTTACCATTAAGATCAAATTTGCAAGTAACACTAATTGATTTAAAAGGCAAAACAACATTGAATACAATGGTTAACTTCATTTTGGCATGAGCATTTGTAAATGTATTAATATAATTTAATCTTGATAGAAAGCCATAAATAGAATAGAATATTTTTCAACTTGATATAATTAGACGTTGGATTTCATGATGAGTTATATTATTTATACTCAAAAACAATAAGAAATTGCTATAAGTTTTATATTTTAGATTCAGATATGGAGACAGGTGCTCATCTTAAAAATATTAAAATTAAAATATAAAATAAATAGTCAGATTAAATGACTACACTCGAAAAGTAAAATAACAACATATTTTTGTAATAATTTCTGACTTAAAATTTTAAAATTCAACAATCATTTTTTGGAGATTTTTCCAATGTGTGTATACTAAACTGAGTGTTTTGTTTTCTCTTATTATTTCTATTATTTTTCTTATTAGTTAACCCATTAAATATAAATTTTCTATTTAGTATAGATTTCCAATTTGAATTTCCTTAAAAAAGACTTGGACTTAATTTACATTAACATTTATTATGCATTGGAAGAAACTTGCTTGGTGCTAACCCCCCCCAAAAAAAACTTAATTAATAAGCAATACTTTTTTCAATTGTAATAGATTAAATGATTAATCAGAGTGATTGCATGTTAAATGGAGCACAGTAACTAGCTCAAAACAGTGTGGAAAAAGGAATACTACTGCACAAATTATATTTCAAAAATTAACTTTTCTTTTCTTTTTCCTTCAACCGAAAATGAGCTTCCCAGTTCATCTCTTTGAATCGTAATGCCATGGCTATGATTTTTCTTTTAATTAATCATGTCACATTCAATTATAAAAGAAAGTAATAACTTTAATTTGGTAAAACTCAAGCCAGTCAGGAGGTATAAAAAAAACTAATTATTTTGTTGTGATTTTGTCTCAATTAAAACTTGATCTCTAAATTTTAGCTCATTGTAACTTAGTTTTATAATTTGGGCTCAGTAGTTTTGACTTAACATAACTTAATCTTTAATCATTTAAAAAATAAAATTGTTAGCACTCAAGTTATTCTTTAAACTCAGGCCCTGTTTGGTAGAAAGCATTGAAAATGAGCAACAAGGATTGTGATTGCAATTGAAAAAAATCATTCAAATAGTATTTAGTATGAGTAATTGCTTGTTATGTGGAATTAGGCAAACTCAGAGGTGTGATTGCAGAATACCATGAAAAAGGTATTCCTCAATCCCACATATGGGCTAATCTCATATAACAAGCAATTTCTTATATTAAATATTTTTTTAATAGATTTTCTCAATCCCAGTCTCTATGTCTATGCCTAATTTTTAATGCTTCTTATCAAACGGGATCTTAGAAATTAATTGAATTTTCAAATAAAGTTGGAGGATGAGCTACAACTCTATTGATTGTTGGCCATAACAAACTTTATGATCAAATAGTTAGTATTTTTAACAACCAAAAAGAAAAGTTTTCTGAATTTTTTGATTTATTTTATTTTTGCGTTCGAGTTTTGAGTGAGATATTCGGCTATCGAGAAGTTGAGAACAGAACGTACTTAAAACGGAGAGAGGACCATGGAACTGAAGGGCAAAAGGCCTCAATGGATTCGACGACGGACACTCCGCAAGAACAACTCGATAATCCGAACGCTTCCGATGACTCTTCGCCGGAAAATGACATCGTTCTATCCCCTCTCCCCTCTGAGACCCCGCTTCTCGATCTCCAGAATTCACCGGAAGAAGACCAATCTTTGCCCAAAGAAACGACATCGGAGGCTCTCGACGATTCTTCTGATCCCGTCCCTGAAAATCCCGTTGAAGAAAACGCTCCAAAATAGTAACCGAAGCGCACCATCACCGGCGGAGCCCGGACCCCCGGCCAGGAAGCGTAGGCGGCGGAAGAAGTTCTTCACTGAATTCATCGGAAACACGTCGCTTTCTAGGAACCGGCGATCTGAAGTTGCGAAAGACTGCGACGTCGAAGCACTAATTGCAATCTCCGTGGGCTTTCCAGTGGACTCTCTGACGGAGGAAGAAATCGAAGCCAACGTGGTCTCCACTATAGGTGGGACCGAGCAAGCGAACTACATCGTGGTCCGGAACCACATTCTGGCTCGGTGGAGAACTAATGTGTCGGTTTGGTTGACCCATGATCACGCCCTCCAGTCCATTCGGTCAGAGTACAAAGGGCTGGTTGCGTCGGCTTATCGCTTTTCTTGGAGCATGGTTACATCAACTTTGGGCTTGCTCCAGCTATTAAAGAAGCAAAGTTGAGGTCTTTTGATGGTGTGGAGAAGGGTAATGTGATAATCGTTGGTGCAGGGCTTGCAGGGTTGGTTGCTGCAAGACAATTGGTGTTCATGGGATTCAATGTTGTGATCTTAGAAGGTAGGACCCGCCCAGGGGGACGGGTGAAGACGAAGAAGATGAAGGGTGATGGCGTTGAAGCTGCAGCAGACCTTGGTGGAAGTGTACTCACAGGTATAAATGGTAACCCCTTAGGTGTTCTTGCAAGGCAAATGGGTTTGCCTCTGCACAAGGTGAGAGATATATGTCCTCTGTATTTACCTGATGGGAAAGCTGTGGATTCTGCGATGGATACTGGTATAGAGGTTTCGTTTAATAAGTCGTTAGAAAGAGTTTGTAAGCTTAGGCATGCGATGATTGAGGAAGTTAAATCAGTGGATGTTTCATTAGGGACTGCACTCGAAGCTTTTCGGCGTGCTTACAAGGTTGCTGAGGACCCGCAAGAGCGTATGCTATTTAATTGGCATCTTGCAAATTTGGAATATGCAAATGCTACTTTAATGTCTAATTTGTCAATGGCTTATTGGGACCAGGATGATCCTTTTGAAATGGGTGGTGATCATTGTTTTATTCCTGGGGGTAATGAGAGATTTGTCCGTGCCCTTGCTGAGGACCTTCCTATTTTCTATGGAAGAACTGTAGAGTGCATCAAATATGGAACTGATGGGGTATTGGTATATGCTGATGGACAAGAGTTCTATGGAGACATGGCCCTCTGTACTGTGCCATTAGGAGTTCTTAAAAAGGATCGATCGATAGAGTTTGTTCCAGAACTTCCTCAAAGAAAGAAAGATGCAATTCATAGGTTGGGTTTTGGGCTGCTGAATAAGGTTGCAATGCTGTTCCCGTATAATTTCTGGGGTGGAAACATTGATACATTTGGTCATTTGACTGAAGACCTGAGTATGAGAGGTGAGTTTTTTCTATTTTATAGTTACTCTTCAGTTTCTGGAGGCCCACTTCTCGTTGCCCTTGTCGCTGGGGATGCTGCAATTAGGTTTGAAATGATGATGTCACCAGTGGAGTCTGTGAGAAGGGTAATGGACATTCTAAGGGGTATTTTTCATCCTAAGGGAATTGCTGTTCCAGATCCTGTTCAGGCTGTCTGTACTCGGTGGGGAAAAGATCATTTCGCATATGGATCATACTCCTATGTTGCTATTGGGTCTTCCGGAGATGATTATGATTTCCTTTCAGAGACCGTTGGAGATGGCAGAGTGTTCTTTGCAGGAGAGGCTACTAGCAAACAGTATCCTGCAACAATGCATGGTGCGTTTTCAGTGGAGTGGAATGAGAGAGGCTGCAAATATTATGAGAGTGGCCAAGAGAAGGCTCTCAGTTTCAGTTGACAAAAATAAAACTCTTTTGGAGGGAAGTGATGATTTGAACAAATTATTTGAGAACCTGACTTGACATTTGGGAGTTTCTCCGCATTGTTTAATCCAAAGAAAAATGATTTTGATTCTAGTTCATTACTGAGGGTAAAGTTTGGAGGATCATTTTTGGAATCTAGCTGCCTTTGTCTTTACGCCTTGGTTTCAAGAAGAGGGTTGTTGAATTAAGTGAGATCAAGGGAGATGAGAACAGGATAACAATGTTGAACAACTTTGGGGTGAGTTTAGTTGGGAGGAAAGGTTTGAGTAGTGATGCAGAATCTCTTATCAATGACATTAGATTGGCTAGATCGAACCTTAGTGATGCAGAGAATTCCGTGCACAGAAAGGAAAGTTTACTTAATGGCTTGGACAAAAAAGCCTCTTATTAATTGTATTCAATTTTTCTTTTTCCTCGAATTAATGAATTCTTACTATCTTCCCCTCATTTGCCATTTTCTTTACCAATGATTAACATAGTTTACTTTTTTTTGTTGCTGATGAACTGCCTTATTTATGATTATTTAAATATGAAGCGGAAATCTTCCTTTGCTGAAATGGTCATTGAAACTTGTCAAGAATTAGTGTATATTCATTTGCAATAAATTCTGTATTGGAGTGTATATAGCTCATGTTTCATGAAAACTGTCGTTAGTTGTATAATCAACTTATTGGAGGTTGAGGATTTTGCATCTATTCAGTTTGGCTTCATTCAAAGATGGCGGAGCTCGTAATGAATCTCCAACGCTAGCTCACCACATTGCTTTCTTCAGCTGTAGCTCAGGTATATATTAGAAAAGGAAGGGAAAACGGATCCATGATTATTTTTTCTTTTTAGAAGAGATGGCTATGACAAAGCCATATATGAGAAAAGGCAAACAAAGAAACTTGCTTTGCTGATCCTAAACAATCAGAGGAGCATCGACAGGAGTACAATGTCCCTGAATATTGTGGGCATTCTTGGCGAACCAATTAGTGCATCTATTAGCTTCACGGTAAACATGATCAAGCTTGATATTCCAATTCAATGCCATGAGTCTCCTAATGTCAGTCTGTTAAACTTCAAGTGGGAGACCAGCTACATTTTCTGAGTATCAAATTTACTGTTTCTGCTGAGTTACTGGCGATTACGATGCTTCCAAGACCCTGAAGTCTTGAATCAAACAGATCCCCATCCCTCAAGATATGCCCTGAAGTTCTGCTTCAATGTTGCTTCCGTAGCTTTCTCATGAACCCCTTAACCAATGTTTTAAAAGCCGGACCGAAAACCGGAAAGATCAACGGGTCATGGTTCAATCGGTCGGATCGGTCGGACCGTTCGGTCAGACTGGTGACACAATAATTAATTTAAAAAATATTATATACATAAATTAGTATATATGAAAAATATCAAATTATTAAATAATTTAGAAATGCATTTAAATAATCTAAAATTATAATAAAATCATTGAAAATGGACTAAAACCTTATATATTTAATTTTCTGTATGTTAAAATATTTAATGATATTACAAATTATCAATTCATTCAAATCAAAATATTTTTTTAAAGATAGATCAAATATCGAAACAAAAAGACTAGCGACTCACGATTTTAACATCACAATATATGAAATTTTCAATGAAATAATACTATATGGTTATAACTAGTCTAAAAATATATTAGGATATTTAAGGGGATCAATTTTTTTATTTTTCCTCTATTTTTTTAAAATTTTTTAGTATTTTTCAGTCAGGCTAAAAAACTGTCCGGTTTTCTGAAAACCGTTCCGGTTCCCGGTCCAACTCTAGTTTCCGGCTTAATAACGGCTCAACTCCGGTCCAATCTGGCTCAACTATGCGAACGGTTTTTTGGTCCAAACCGAGCCGTTAACGAGTCCGGGTGACGGTTCAATCGGTCCAACCGTCCGGTCCGGTCCGGTTCTTTAATCATTGCCCTTAACACAGTTACCACGGAAGTCTTGAATCAAAAAACCGCAAATTGCCGTCTCATCCATATTGTTTATCGACCCATCAATGTCCAAATGAAATCCAAGCTGTACCCGGATGGCTCCAATTGTTTGTAGGTGTAAGCATATTTCCTCCAATCCTGATCATTTGTTGCTGCATGAAGCTATCTGTAACATTTTGTACACATCTGAAATGAGAACTTCACCGGCCTTGGGTGAAATGGATGTGTTGCTTCTATCTTATAAGATCACTAGCAGGCATTAGCCAATAACGTTTTCCAAGGCACTCCTTTTATGTCTAATCTACTCCAGCAGACTGAGAAGAAATCAGTATGCGAGGAATTTTTTTCAGGCCAAGTTTCCAAAGGACTTGTTTAATCTTTTCAAGGAGGATGAGCTCTGTCATTCTCAGGAATGGGCTGGATTTTTTGTAAGCAGAATTGACACAGTTTTTCCCATCGTCTCCAACAAATGTTATCATCCTCATCAGATTAGAGCGGAGGCTTAACAAGAATACAAGAATAATCTGTCCAATCACTTACCTATGAGAGAATCTCAAATAAAACGGCGCATTTTGAATGTTTGGGTTGCGGTTCTTCATCTCGTCTGCATGCTGCTATACATAGATTTTGAGCCCATCAACTTTAAGAGGTGGTTATCATTTCCCATGCATGCAATAAACAAGACTTTTATTTGGAAAAAGATCTAACAAGATTGAAATAATTAATTATTTACAATTTAAGCCTTTGCTAAAAATTATATTAGGTCTCATCAAATTGTAGATATTTTTATGGGCAAGAACATTGCCATGTAAACTGCACAAAACTTCCTTCCCCTTCTTTTACTTCAATTTCCGGTCTGAGGAGTAATCTGTAAATCTCTTTTATTTATTTTTACATCAAGCCCAAAATACAATATTGTTCAACATTTATTATAATTTGAGTATGCATGCGCGCGTAATCCGTTTATAATAAACCAACGGGGAGTTTCGAGCTCTTTGAATGGCGTAATTTTATTCTATAAAAATTATTAATGAAGAACATTCAAAACATACCCATTAATTTTTTTTCCCTTTTTAGCTACACTCATTACTTAGCAACGCTACTTTCTACTAGGAAACAATTCTTTTTTCTAATAAAATTATAAAAATATGTCAAATTTTTGAAATCTTTTTATAGTCATCTGAATCTCAACTAAGTTAGGTTGAGCAACCATATAGACATGCAACTCCCCTACAGGCACACTTTTTCATTTACAAGATTTAAAACAAACTTTAATTGCGGGGAAGAAAAAAAAAAGTTGAGTGGACAGCGCCTTTTGACACTTGTCAGTTTTTTTTTTTTTTTTTGGTATTCACACGAATTCAACCTGAGACCCTGTGCTTAAACAACTTTGTTTTCTCATCAGTTCTAAAAAAATTTTCAAGTTCTACATTCTACAAAAAATTTCTCATCAGTTCTACATTCTGTGATGTTTGAACAATATAGCAATTAGTATAATCGCATTTCAACCCAGAACAAATATCAATGTGATAATTTTCAAGTTGACTTGATTCCAGTTACATAAGAAACTTGAAAAAACATGAGGGAGGAAAAATTATGACAATATGCAGATTGATCTAACTGGATACCATGATTTCATTGCTACATTGAAGAGCTTGGGAGGCAAAGAACCTAACATCAACATCTGGATCCTCGCTGAGGTCAACCAAACAGGGACGTATAGTCTGCTCAAGAACCTTAATTGTTCCCAAAAGCAATTTCAAAATGTAAGCATCAACAGCAGTTTTTAACAATAAACAGCGGCTAGTTGAGCAATAGACTAAAACACTGGTTTCCAATATAATCTTCAACTGCCATAAGAATGAAAAATGACACTAGCAACCCTACAGAGAAGAAGTCTCGGAAGCATAGTTTAATTGATATTGACATATTTTTACCACTCATCAAAGAGCGAAGTTAGGTTCTAGCTTGTCAATTTGCTAAATTTAGCAATTCAACCAAGATGTTTGAAACTTAGAGCGGAGAACTCAACAACTAACCAATTCAAAATAACATAGACAGAATAGCACTTGAGAATAATCAGGAACTTAATACTTGTGTCATGTGAAAATTGTAACTGGAAAATAATTATGAAGTTAGAAGTTCTAAAGTTTTCTTAGTGGCATATTCAAATATTCATAACATTGGTATGAGGTATCCTAAAAGAGAAAAACTAAAATAACTACTTACAGTATGATCAACAACTGGAGCAAAAGACTGCAACACTTTTGCAACATTGAACTTGATATTGGGAACCCTGTAAGATTAGCGATCAGAACAGATTCCAATGGAGATGCGAGAAGACCCAGGTTTGAATAGTTTTACCTATCTTTTGATGCAGTGATGACCAGAGGGAGCAGTTTAGAACAGGTAATCTCAGAGCCCAAAACAGGACCTAGCAGAGAAATTGCTTGCAAAACGGTCATCCGATTCAGATAGTGTGGATCATTAATCATGTCCAGAACCTGTAAATTATGTTGTTCGAATGAATACCCAACTCTTTTTTAAATAAAATAAATAAACGATTATTTTTAACATAAGCATTAATTATCTGTTCTATAAAACCTTTCAATAGTAGGTACAACGTACAACTGTTCTCTAAGCATTTGAAAAAATAGTCGGACAGCAGCTTCCTCAAGGCAGTAGCATTTCCCTAAAGCAAATGACTCTATGGCTTGTAGAGGATTAGTTATTAAATTGAATCCGCTATGTCTAAAGGCAAGAAAGAAAACTAGCCAGGAAACAGGACATGAATAGCATGGTTTGTCCACATCAACAATTAGCTTTTGGGAAAGGATTCCCGGCCCATCAATTGGTGTCAAGCTAAAGGTCAATAACTCCATAAAGGAGTGCTTATGAAGAGTTGAGTGGTGGAATGCCAAGTGAAATGTCACAGTATAACTGTCAGGACGTCAACTTTCCAAGGGCAACCAACTGACCAGGACTAAAGGTGGGATGAAATGACCAGTCTCATCAGATAATATGGGATGGCCAAAGGAGTACTAAAGGAGCGGGATAATATGAAATGACCAAGTCTCACATTTATAACATGGATTGTTCAATACCAGATACCATGGCTTTGGACAAGAGTTCCCCACCCCCATAGTAGCCTATCGAACACCAGATACCATGGCAATATTTAAATTCTTTTACTGTGAAGGTGAAATATTATACTAATGCATATCAAGAAACTAAGATATACATCGGCAGGAAAATGTCAAAAACAGACCTGAGGAATAATGTGCTGCATTGCCCATTCTGGTCCAAATTCTTCTGCCAAGCGTTTCACATTATTAGCAGCTGCATCTCGAATAGAGTATACCTACAATTATATCCAATACTGTCGGTAAAGACAGTATGACTTGGTTGCTCAAAAAGAAAATAAAAATGGGACTGAATTTGCAAGCATAGTGAACAAGTATGATTTCTTGAAATTGACAAGGCCAGTGGACAATTCCGTACAACCCTTCACCAAAAAATAAGGCACGCAAATCATTACACAGACTATCAGTTTCTTTGGTAGCCTACATAGCTAAGGAAGCCACAATAAGTTGAGTCAATCACTTGTCTGTTCACCATTTCTGCCAAATTGATATTTTAGCACTCTCAAATTACATAACTGGCAAAAGTTGAAAAGGAAATCAGCTGAAGAAGCCATGCTTCAACACATACAAGACTTGTAGAGAAACCAAGAACCAAGATGCATCATTAATAATAATTGCAGCAGCTAACAAGTTTCAAGAGGTACAAATTAACAGTAATCATTAAAGCTCTAGCACAAATCTAGTCTTTTAGTCAACCATAAATGCCAATAAAACATACTTCAAAGATGAGAGGACTAAACTGATCAGACCACAAGATTTACTAGCTTCACAAACCTTGTCCTTAAGCCATTGCACGCAAAGGGGTCCAAGTTTGTCATAAAAAAACCCTACACCCAACTGACTTGCCAATAAAGGTATATGTTCTATGATGGCAAGTCGAACCCTCCAGTGTCGATCTTCAGCAAGCTCAACAACAGCTGGTAATAGAGACTGGGATAACACGTCAATACCAATTACCTGTATAAGCACGTATATACTAAATTTCAATGAACAACATGTCGAAAGCAATATGTTTAATTGAGAATATATATTAATCCAAAGAACTTGGAATAATCAATTTAAAACCACCAACCTGATTAACTTGGCCAAGCTTGCTGATGATGTTCAGCCTGACATCAGGACATTCATCTTTCAAAAGAGAAAGAAAAATAGGGAGGAGCTGCTCAATTGTCACCTCCTGAAACCACCACAAAAGTAAAGTGAAGACAGAAGAAAAGGTTGACTGCGGAATTGATTATAAGAATAAAGAAACTAAATAAGGCACCAAATGTGTACATCTATTCACTCAGGTATGATAGAAATTATTGGAAACCAGAGCCTAGAGTCTTTTGACAGGCTCTCACCTCCTTATCAATCCGTTTTTCTAAGAGTTTTAAAATTTCAAATAAACCATCCGCTATATAATACATTCTTTTTTCTTTTTTTTTTAATTTTTAAAGGAGTACACCTTGGAGAGAACTTGAGAATTAACCCTATCAAAAACTGCATTGCTTGGAATAGAACCTACCGAAATCCATAAATTCCAACTTGATCATCAATCATGCAAGGAGCTGCTGAAAAGTATGTCTAATACTTTACACTTTTTTTTTTTTTTGGCCTGAAAATAGTTTACGCTTCAAATAGCCTAAGCCTAATATTTTTTCTCCCATCACAGATATTCGAGCAAATAAATGCGCAACATTTCAGTTTCATGTTGATTTACATCTTCTGTTTCTAGACAGAAATTCTCACCTTCCCTAAAAGTGGTGCCATTCCCATTACAACTGAAGCCAATGCAGAGCGAACATACTGAGATGAGTCTGTGGATAAATCCTACAATGCAACAGACAAACTTGATCAGCCATATACATCTTATCGTCAAAATTCACAAGTAATGATAACTTTAAGATCTTTTGTAAAAATGCATGCCTTTAAACATGGTACAATATGCTGAATAGCAAGTTCAGGATTTAATAATTGGCAAAATTTGGTCACGTTTCCAGCAGCAGCAATGCGTACTTCAGCTTCATTGTCATGCAGTAGCCAAACATATGCAGGAACCAAGTCTGACCTAAAAACAATTTTCATCATCATATAAAGTCAGAATAGGTGAAGTAAATCCCTCATATCAAATATGACGTACTTCTTGAAAAACCTATTATGCATATAATTTATAACTTTCTTTCATGAATCATGGAAAAGTTCTTCATTGGCTGATAAAATGTGCGTTTACAACCAAAAGTTCACTACAACAAAACCAGATTTCAATATAGTGTCAGAGGGATCTTGGAAAATCATGAAGAACAAGCCAAATCATTCAATGGATATGAAAGGCTACCTGGTGGACTCAGGACCAACAACTTCACATAGCTCATATAAGTGATCTGCAACCACGTAGCGTACACGCCATGACTTGTCCTGTCAATAATTAACTTAGCATGAGTCTGCATCAAACAAAAAGAAACCAACCAAAAACAAGTACATAATACATATGAAGATGAAATAGAGAATATACTCTCAAATATATATCGCAACACTAGAGGACCAAGAAATCTATTTGGCGGTAAAATTATTCTAATCTTCCATTGATACATCCTTTGCATTAGGGAAAAAAAATCTACCAATGTAATTTTTAAATTTCTCAATTATAATTAAACAAACACACATGACTTGCAGCAAATAAGAAAGGCATATAAGAACAACACCAAAAGAATCAATCTAACGAGCAGTGAATATTCTAAAACAAATTATAGCATAAAATATAAAACAAGCTATATGAATGAATAAAATGTTCATAACAGCCTATGAATAAAGTTTCTACTCTTCCTTCTTAAAAGCACAAACATCATTGGTGTCAAAAAAATTGGAGAAGAATTACATTTCTGCACACACCCATGAGACAATTTTTCTGTCCCACCTTGAAATCCTGGTAGAGTCCTATTTTTCTGTCAAATTTTAAGATATAGGATGGCCACAGAAGTTGTAATGGCAAAAGTAGAAAAAGAGGAGGGGGAGGTAATGAAGCTTGTGTCTTCCTAAAACGGTCTTAACTTCTCAATTCTCATCATTTCTGTTCCTTCCAATGAATTCACTCCATCTCTTCCACAAACTAGAATATTAGCTCAAGGAACTTTCCGCAAAGCTCTCTAAGGATGAAGAGCAACTAAGGTAGATAAAATCAAAAGGGCAAAAAAAACTGACAGAGGAGAGCGAATTGGCACGGACAGGTTGTGTCCACTCATACAGTATGCATATCATGATGTATTGTGAAGGGCTTACCACAAAATGCATATCTTCCTAATTAATGTTACGTTATACCTGTGAGAATTTGGCTATAACTGGAAGAATATGCGCCACACAATCTTGAGGCTCCAACAATTTCCCAAGAGCTACACAACCCTCAACAGAAAGTAGCCGAACTGAATCTTGATCTACAAGAACATGAAAGGACGAATTTTAAATGTAATAACAATGCTCTATGCATGAACATGAAATGGTCAGCCTGCAATTGTTAATTAAATAAGTCACAGATATTCACCATGCCTTCAATTTTAAACAAGGGAAACAAATTTTTTTTATGCAGGGAAATTTAAAAGCCTAATCTGAAACACCAACGTCAATGGTTTGAAACTACATTATCTAGTAAAAAAAAATTAAAACAATAAAAAACTAATCAGAATGCCAATTTATTATATCAAACGCATATGAAAAGGATTTTTATGAGAGAGAAAAGTAAAGCAGAGGATATATGATATTAAAAGACAATATGAAACGGTTATCTTTACCCATAGGCCATAGTGCATATTCTTTCATTTTATATTCATCCTACTGCTGGAAAAAAAAAAATGACACTCTTCCAGGTAGAAAAGGAAACGGTGGGAGAGATTACAAGTCACTATAAGCATAGTTACTTTTAGTCCATCAATATTTTGATGCAGCTGGGTTATAATTTTCTTAGTCAAGTGAATACTCCATTTGACATTGTTTCAAGACTTTCCTTCCAAGTTCGAACCAGATCTAATTCTCAATTTACACGTTAAATCACAATTTTCACAAATTTATCTTAAAAGGACATACGGAAAGTAAATTGACTTCACATATTGTCATTCATTGTTAGAGTAGCAGCGATCACTTTGGGTTCCTCCCATTGTCAAAGCCTTAGGAAGCAATCGATGCCTTTAAATATGGTTTACAAATCCTTAATACGTACACCTGATATTGTTCTCACCAAGGTTTAACAGATCCATGATAGGATGCCAAAATTTTTCACATCAAATTCACATACCATCATGTGCAAGGCCCTCAAATATGGACATGATATTGGTTTTCAGGTAAGCAGCTTCAACAGTAGCAGCAAAGTTTCCCAGGTTTGTTGCAGCAGCTCTTCTAACCATAGGCATATCATCTTGGCACAGCTGACCATATAAAGTTCTCAGTTCGGTTTTTATAGTCTCTGGGGCATGAGGGAAAGCAATATGCAACAAGCTGCATGATGAAACTCGAGCTGTAAACCACTCACCAGCAGCCAGTCTCTACATGATGGAGATTATGATCAATGAAAAGTTAATGCACTGCCATTATAACTGCAATATGGTATAATACTATTAAAAAAGAAAGGAAAAAAAGAAAAATTCCTCACATAATGCCTGAATCCATCACTAACATCATAGGAGATAAAAGCAAGATGCACCATGAAGCCTATAATTTGTGGTGATTTAAGCACTAATAGCTAAGTGTCTTAAATGAATAAGGTGCAATATACAAGCAGGGCATGCTTTATATCTATGTCTAAATAAGAAGCTCCACTATAGTCAGAGAAAGCAGAAAAGGCTTCCAGACAAAACCCTGACACAGTGGCTTATAGTTCACATGTCCTAGTTGGGGCTGTCCAGTACCTATAACCTCATTCCTAGCCAGAAGTAAACTTTTTATGAAGAGAAGGTGAAGGTTGGTGAATGGGACAAATCATTAAACGCTGTGTGTCTAGCCTATGTGACCAATGCCAGATTAATTGCAGTCCCTGTCGTCTCTGTCTCCATTCTCTATTCTTCTCACTGATCTTCTCCCCTCTCAGCCATCTGTCTCTCCCTTTTCCCTCTGCTTTCCCTCTCTTCCTCTCCTTTTTCCCATTCTTTACCCTTCAAGATTACAAAGGTATAACACTTCCGCTAAGAAGAATTAATTCATCTGGCAATATATGTCAGTTCCAGGCCTCATAACCAAAGAAGGTGAATACTTCGGATAAGTGGCTCTAATCCATATGGCACCATGCTCACGTAAAGCAATCCCAAAAATAAAAATACAACGGTCAGTAGACAAAATTTCTAATCTCCCAACGATCAACAAAACCATGGTCCTAGGTTTTATTAACAATAAACGAAATCCACATAACAGAAATCTACTCATGGTGTTTGGCTGGGAGTAAGACTTTAAACATGTCCATAGGTTTGATTAACAAAAAAAGAAAGAAGGAAGGAAGGAAGGAAGGAAATAGAGAGAGAGAGGGTGAGCTATCCATTGCTCTATATGTCAGATAAACAAAATCATAGTTCAGATAGTTCACAAGGTATGATCAGTGACTACTGCAACCAGACAAAATACGAAAATGACAAAAGTGAGTTATGTCTGTTATGTTCAACTAGTTAACAAAAGCAGAATGAAACAAATGCACTCCTGAGTGTTATGTCAAATTTTCAAAATGTCTAGGTAATGCAGAGACGAGGTTTCCACAGATTAAGCTAATACACAACCAAACTCTAAGAATTAACAAAGACAGAATATCAAATGAAAGAACAAAGGAATAAAGAAAATGAAACTATGTACCTTGACAAGAGGGATAAAGTATTCAAGCATTTCTTTCTCTCTCATTTGAGCTCCAATTTTACCTAGTGACTCCACTGCTTTCTCCCTCACACAAGTTTCCTCAACGGTGCAGAGCGTTTCTAATGGAGGGAGCAGCACGTCCGCGTGCTCTATGCCACCAACATATGGAATAAACGCGCCTAATTCCTCTGCCACCGCAAGAAGCACCTCATCATCATCATCATTGTTCTCACCGAGAAATGGAATCAACTCCGTCCTTGTCCTTTCTTCCCCAAGTGCGCGTGCAATTGTGGATAGTTTGCGAATCGAATTCAGTCTAATTTGAATATCATCGTTCTTCAATTCATCAATCAAAACAGCTATTGGGTATAGAGGTTCATTTACGGAAGCCATGTTGTCTCACGAGATCCTCAAACTGCAACAAAAGCAAGTCACAAATGACAAATCAATTCAGTTGATTTCACACACACAAGAGAATCAATATTAAGCGCGGCAGCTGAATGGAATTTGGTCTTCCCATTTTCCCAGGAAGGCTTCTTCCCCCCATCTCCTTTACCCCCCTTAGCCCAAAAACAGCCAATAACAAACGTCAACAGGGTACTAAAATTTCACAATACCAGGAGCAAATATCAAAATCTACAAGTTCGCCTCTCGATCTCAAGCAATGGGCTATAAATTCAGCAGGCATCTTGACAAAAGGCGAAAGGCTCAGCAAAGAAAAATCGGTAAAACTACAAAATCTAATAATCAGAGGGAATGACAAGGAGAAGAGACCTACGGGACGTGGAAAAGCAAGAAAATGGAGAAGCTGAAACGTACAAAGCTCCTTTGCAAAACTGAATCTAACAACCGACGATGGTGAAAATTGAAATGCCAGGGGATTTGTCGATTGTATAGAGGTTTTGTAGGGATATCCACTGCTCAGGATTTCTGTCTCATTCTCCAAGGCAACTGCTTCGCCTCGTCCAAACTCGACCGGCTAGAAATTCCAAAACGAATTATGAAAGTTATTTTGATATTTTCAAGTGACTTGCCGGATTGTAAAGTATTTCTTGCTAGTTTTTAACTGTCAAATTCCATAGAATCATATAAAAAATCATTTTAACCCGAGAATTATACAGAGTTTAATTTAATCTGCATTAAACGGGGTCATCAAGTGCCATGTTTTCAAAACTCGAACTTGACATGTTAATCTTACAGATTCCTGCCAATTATATCAAGCGTTTGATGGTTATCAGAACAATAGATAAAATTTGACGGTCCCTTCATAAACTACACTTACATATTATAATATAAACCTTTTTATGCTGTTGAATATTATCCAACTATTTTCTCCCAGATAATATCGTCTAACCTCATATCCATTGTATCTGGCACAAGTTTTCTCATTAACCCAATAATCAACTACACTAGTTTCTGTCACCTTTTAATTTGATAATAAAAACAATTACATAATTCTATTTCTCCAAAATATGCATTATGCAAGACAATTATTTTCATTGACAATTAAAAATAAGTAGAATTTTTGTCAACATATATAGAATTATGGAGAGCAAAGTGACGTTCACATGATAAAAGAAGCCAAGAAGCTGAATTAGACATCTTGCGTCTTTGCATTCATACATTCAATTCTTCTTTCTTTTTTTTCTTTCACTAATTGTTCTTGAATATACAAAAAGCCTAGGGCTACTGAGCACCCAGATTATCAAAAACTTTCTAACCCTTTTCTTTATCTTAATGATTGAAACCCATGCAATCACACAATCTAGTCCAAAACCCACTCTGTGGAACCAGCTGTTCAAGAGGATCCTTAAACTTGGCCACCTCACTTAATTCTTCAAATGCATCAACAAGGTTCTGGAGCCTTGCCACAAACTCAATCATAAGAGTTGTGAAAGTAGCAAGAGACAGTGAACTAGCACTCTCATATGTCTTGGATTCTTCCTCTATTATCGCTGCGTCTGCTTTAAAAGAAACATGTGCAGGCCAAGCCGTCTGCTTATTTGCAGGAGGGTTGTCATTAGCAGCCACAGAGGAAGGTACAAACTCAGCAGAAATGATATTGTCCAAATTCTTCCTAGCTTGATCAGACCTGGGGCCCAGAACAGCTTCACTCATAGACTTGTACAGGAATTTTGGAGGTTCATGTTCATCCATGTTCATGAGGTCATGTGTTTCGCCGGTGACTCTTGGCCGGTTCCCTATTTCCCAGCCCTCTGAATCCACAAGAAGGTAAGATTTTTTGTCAATCTTCTGTTGGAGTTGTTCGGCTGCCTCTTGTATTTCATACAGAATGTCTTCCTGACGTAGCTTCTCCATGTTCTTAACTTTGGTTCCCAGTTCACGCAGCAATTTGGCTCCTTCATAGCCAACCCTTTGAATCTCACTTTTAAAGACTTGTCGCTTCTCAGGTGGAGCCTATGTATCCAAATGATCAAATGATGGTTAAGTGCATATATATTTGCGAATCAAATCAGCCAAAAGAAAATCATTAAGAACAGCATAAGAACCAACAATATCGTGATTAATGAGAAAGAAATCTTCCTGGATTGCAACCAACATAAAAAAAATCAGCAATATCAAGCCCATCCACGAAGGTGCTGTGGAGGAGGGAACATTTCTGATCTGACCATCCAAATCACATTTGGACATTCCAAACTTTTTAAACAGAAAAATATACTAAAATAGGGAAAATTTGTTTAAATCATGACCATCTAGATTTGATCTGGATGGTCCATATCAGATGCATACAAGGCACATCATCAGATCCGTGTGTATGATGCCATGCAGTAGTCAAAGCAAGTCTCAGAGGGCCATGTGAACAATATCAACATACAAGTCAAATCATATTTGGACAGTCAAAACTTTTTAAAATATAAGAAAAATAAACCAGCCTGCGTAACCTTCCAACATAATGAAACACCTAAAAATGTGAGGTGAAAAACCAGATTAAGATTCGACGGTAAAATGCTAACGATAGTGTAAAAACAAGTACCTGTATTTCAGAAAGTATGCACCCATGCATACCCAAGACCGTAAATGCAACATGCCTCAGTGCTCCACTTACTTTCACATAATTCTTCCAAGGGTATCTAAGCATTTTGTAGCGACCATGAGGTGGCTCCCACACAGCAAATCCCATCTTTAATTCAATAATACATGACAGTGAATCAGAAAGATCACAAAAAGACTCCTAGTGAATAAGACAGAAAATTGGAGTGCCTATACGGTACCAATGTTTCCTCTTGGCTTGTAGATTCAACAGCTGATCTGTAGCCACTGTAAATTATGTCATCAGCAGAAGCCTGGTAAGTAAGAATTTTTGAAGGCACCCTCTCATATTCAACACAGTTAAGGTAACTATTCACAGAAGCTGAAGAAACATGAATCAAAGAAATGAGAATAAGAAGCTGCAACATTATATGGCAGCAAGTAGTTACAGATTGAACGACATTGAAGAACATAATTTAGAGAACCTTCCAAAGATCTTGCTACACCCATGAAGTTTTTGGCTACCAAATTGTGCAGATCTTCACCAGCCCAGATTGGATATATACAAATATTAACTGCCAAGGCAACAGCAGCACCGATTGCAATGAACAAAAATCTGTTTGTAGCTGTATGAATGAATTCCCTGGTATGATAACCAGATATTGTAACTAAGCAGTATGTGATCAAGAACACACGAAATCCATATTCATAAGCCTTCATCGTGGGATAGAGTTTTGCATAGGTGATACAAAATCCTGGCAATCATACAGTTCATCAGAGAACCAGGCACAAAGCCTAATAAAATAAGTCTCAGGAACAATATAGACCAACAATACATGACATGAACGAGATTGGAAACCAGACCTACAATGAAGGTACCAATAACAACAATAGCTTCTTCCCAATCTCCAGCCCACTCTGATAACTTTGCCATTCCCAAAGCTAGTCCTGCAGCAGACAAAGTCCCCAATCCTCTGTTGAACCCTTTGCTAAGTGTAGCTCCTGCAGAATTGCAACGTCATTGATCATAAACAAGTCAAAGATACTTGTGCCTGGACTCTGAATTGATCCAGGGAAGAGCATTTTATCTAGAAGACACCATATTTTCTGATGAATGAATTAGAAATATCGAATTCTGTCAAGGACGAATATTTTTCACGACAAAGCAAGAAACGATACAACATTGGCTTTGGAACATGGAAGAGAAACTAATTATAGCTGGTGGTTTTATCAAAAAGCGCAACAGGAACATGAATCGAAGAATCTTTTTTTTTTTTTTTTTTTTAAGTTCGGATGCCTTTGAAGGAAAACACTTGATAAATTTACAGTTAATATATTACTACACTGGGACCCTGAGTTAAATCATTGAGAATGAAAGAGATTAAAAAAAGCGTCTCCATGCTAATAATGCATACGCCCAAATTCGACATGATGTACGTGATATAAACACAGAATATAATCAAAGAATTGGTCCCCACGTACAAAAATTTATAAAACAAAATCAGAGAAAGACCATACCTATACTGAATTCAAAGACGACGACGACAGTCATTATAGACCAGACACAATATTTACTCATATCATGGAAGGGCTCTTTCAAGAAAATCAACAAGGAAAGCAGCATCAACCCAAATCCCACTTTCGCAGAGAATACGACTTTCCTGGGATCACTCCGACCCATCTCCCATGCCCCAGTAGCAACCCTCTTGAGTGCCTTCCAGCCCTCGATAATGCCATCGGAGAAAGCACGGTAAGAACAACACCTCCTCCTTGAACGAGCTTCTTCTTCGTCCGACCCCAGAATATCGATCCCAATCTGAGAATACCCCTTCATGGAGAGCAGCCTCTCCCTCTTAGCTTCGGCGAAACTGTACCTGAAAGACCCCATCTTAGCCATTCTCGTGTTCGTAGCCATACTTTCACCGACGCAATTGATTCACGTGCAAGGAAATGGAAGTTTGTGAAAACCGTAACTGAAGATTTGGATCAGCGTCAGACAGAGTGGGTAAGGGAGCGTGAAAACAGCGGGAATGCTGTGAGATTTTCCGCGTTGGAGTGTAGAATATGAAGCGAAAAGTTGCCAGCGATGATCTGATATGCTCTTTTTTCTTGCTCGGAACTTGCAGAGCCGGGAATCGTGAGCACGAGAGCGTGTGCGTGAGACCAGAATACACAAAGTTGATCATGGAAGAACGAGAAGGTGATTTCCTCTTTGGTCATGGCGTTCCGACGCGTGGCGGGATGAGCTCGCGTAGCTTACGCAATTTAGCTTGCATGATCACTATTTCTCGATGCTAAACCTGCGTCTTACGTTACTTTTTCTTTTTCCTTTTTTTTTTTAACTTTTAGGGTCAATGAATAATAACATTTTTTTAAAAAATAATGTTATTATCCAAAATAGGGGCATGTTGTACCATATCTTCTTTGCTTAATATAAACGCTAATTTCATATTTAATTTAATCATAAATGTAAGATCTCAATTTATTTTATTTAATATTAATATATTTTACCCTCAAGTAATTTCTATGGTAATTAAATATATTAAGTAATTCAAATACACATAATTAATAAGAGTATTTTAAAAAAGACAATATGTATTTACTACAAATAACAATTTAACTAATTTTTTTAATCTCTCTAAATTAATCAACTAAATTTTATATTGAAGACTGAAAGTAGTACTGCCTTATAAATCAATTTATCAAGCAATGTGAAGAAAATGGCAGTTGTTTATCCCCATATACAATGCTTAACTAAGCTATTTACAAATATGATGGTATGGTTTGATCTGTATAAAAAATATCACTGCCTCTTATTTGTAATATAAGAGCTAATTTTTTTTTTTTGACCGGAATATAAGAGCTAATTTATAGTATAAATTATAGTACAACTTAGCTTTTATCTTAGTAGCAGACGTAACAATAAACCAGACTCTACTCAATTCTTTAGAATCTTTCTTTTTTTTTCCCCTTTTTTTTTTTTTTTTTTTTTTTTTGGGGTGTGGCTGAATCTGATAAGAAGGCTATTGACAGTTATAAATAGATACCTTTTGGTATACATGGCAAACAACATAAGCTTATCTCCCTAACTCATTTTTGGAAGCGAAGAATAAATTCTTTTCAACTAAATTCTATATCCACCAAATTCGAATAGCTTCTTAGCATATTTAAAAGGATTAAGGTCAGCACTTTATATTTTTTTTAGCAACACCCAGTCGTAAAATAATTGTTTTTGGAAATAATTTTACCCTCCTACTTTTGAAAACAGTAAAACTTCCATAAAACGTTGGTTAAATGGGACCCGTAAACTTAGGATTCAGGAAAAATGACCCAAAAATACTTTTTGAAATTTAAAGACAAATTGGTTATGCAAATAAGTGAAAGGACCAAATAGGTATGAGGTAGAAATTTGGGATTCACAAAATTTGGTTAAAAGATTAAACTACCACTGAAGTAAAATGAAAAGCATCAATAGGTTTTACAAAGTGATTGACAACTTTCAAATTGAACTTGACCATTTTCATAATATGTTTTGCAATATGTTATTAGTCATTTACAAACTAGGCCAAACTTAAGGGATTAAGTTGAACAAAATTATTAAACACACAAAGTAACTGATCACTTGTGAAATAAAAGTACTCATTTCCATAATATATTTCACATGTTATTAGCCATTTCCAGACAATTTTACTAAACATGTAACGTGATTGACAACTTACAAAATAAATTTGACTATTTCATAACACACTTTGCAACTTGTTATTAGCAATTTGTAGACAATTTTACTAAATATGTAATGTGATTGATAACTTACGAAATGAAATTGACTATTTCTATAATGCATTTTTCAAGTTATTATTAGTTATTTTCAGACAATTTTACTAAATGTGTAGCGTGATTAACAACTTAAGAAATGCATATAACCATTTCCATAACATGTTTTGAAACATGTTATTAGTCATTTCCAGACTTGGTACAATTTTTTAGGGGGCCAAGTTAGACAAATTAACTAGACATGTAAAGTGATTGACAATTTGAAAAATGCGTTTGATTATTTTCATACTATTGAGTTAGTCAATTTCTAACAAGTATGACCTTTTAGGGGAATTAAATAATGGGGTAAATGTTTTGAGAAATCAGTGGATAGTCAACAAGTACATCTAAAATATATCATAATAAACATGTTAACAATAGCTTTCGTGATTTACTACATTTGTAATAGAATTAAGCATTAAAATAATGATACTTACCAAAAATCAGTAGCCCTATGACAGTAATTACATTATATATATTGAACTGAAGATTCTTCAAGCAGTATGAGAAAGTCAGAGGAGTAGAGAAGGAGCCTATTGTATGATTGAAGAATGGTAACATGAGGAATGTAAGGGTAATTAAAATAGGAAACGCAAACAACAGGTGAACTGAAGTTGGAAGTTCGGAGAGGGATGATTTGGAAGTGAGGAAGGGTCTGTAATTGTTTTTGAAGAAAAAGACGCTAGAAACATCATGAGGAAGAGAGAAAAGAACCTGAAAAGAGATAGAGAACTCTTTTTGATTTTGACAAAAAAGGAATGAAAGAAAGGGCATGCAGGTAAATTGTCAAATTTTGCAAATCTCAAATTAATATCTATTGACTTATTTATCTTTCATGAATTTAGAATGACTAGTTTGACATTTTAGAATTCAAGTGGTATTTATATGGGATTTTCTCTAGAGTTTAGGTGCATCTAACACTCAAAATATTTTCTCAGTAGTACTTAGCATTTAAAATAATTTTTTGTGTAATTTTATTCTTAAAATATTTCTCAAGCTAATTTCTCTTATCATTCTTTTTTTTTTTCATATTTTCAATACCCATTCTCTATATTTTCAATAATTAATTTTTATCTTTTTTGGAAGTCCTCTTGAATATTTTCTAACTTGGCCAGTTGTCCTCGATAACATTGCACCTCACCAAAATATTAAATATCTCCTGCGTCAAAATGCAAAGAAACAATTGCGTGAGTCTCGGAATTTTGTTTGACGTGAATTATCTATTAAAGGAATTTAAATGCCATTTTCACTTCATAATAGAGCATATTAGTTGAGTGAGGCAAAAAGAGGAAGGAAAACAAGAACTGCATGTCTGATAACATGCAACAACTCATTATCACACGAAAACAGACTCATTTACCTATTTAGACGCCTTCTTAATCCTCTTAATCCTTATCCCTGATCGAATTTCACACACTATGGCTTCTTTGTTCCTTATCTTTTACAATATTTTCCTCATGGTCATGTCTCATTCGCCCCCCATCAATGCACAAGATCCAAGCTTTTCTAATCCCAGCATAGCCCAATGCACCTCCAGCCTCCTTCCTCTTGTTCCTTGTGCACCATTTGTGCAAGGTATTTCTGCGTCCCCCGGACAGCCATGCTGTGACAACCTTGAATTGCTCTACGCACAAGTCCCGCGTTGTCTCTGTGTTTTGCAGAATGTCTCCTCAACTTTGACCTCCTTCCCCATCAATAGGACACTTGCCCTGCAGCTTCCTGCCCGCTGTACCCTTCAAGTCAATGTCTCTGATTGCCCAGGTTCTAATAACTTTCATTCATGTTATAGCATGTCTAGAAATCTTGTGGGTATTTTAATAATAGCATACCTGTATAGTTAGATGCAGCTTTTCTTTCTTTCTTTTTTAATGATTTGGCATTATTTTTTATGTAGGGGTAAAATTGCCAACCAATTCACCTCCTACTCAAGCGTCCAATGGGACGATGGGCAGCCCAACCGTTGCTGGTAAAGCATTCTCTGTTTTCTTCCCCCCTATTTATTATGAAGTTTTGATATTATTTTGATAACCAAGTTGGCTTCTTCTTTTTTCTTCTTTTTTCCTGATGGTTCTCTCTTTCTACTGCAATTTTAGCTTCCCCAATAGTTCCAGTGACACCAAAACCCAGCGTTATAGGATTTGGACTTGCAAGAAGCGAAGCCATTAATTTGAAGGCAGGGGATGGTCTTACTGTAGCCTTGACCACAGCAACCCTCTTCTTAACATTTAAATTATGACTCTAGTCCTTACCTTTAGTCAATGGCAGAAGAACTACTATGTATTTTGATACAGTTTTATAAATGTTTTGCTATTATTTTTATCTATTTTAGCGTATAGCATGTAGATTAGGTGGTTTTGTTTATAGCTTAGATGCAGGCTCTCCATCTGTTCAGAAACAGAGATGTGGGAATCTCAGTTAATAAATATGTAATTTAAGTGGGTATTAAGTAGATAACTTTTCTTCACTATTTTTTCAGACCATTTCAGTTTCAGAATGTTCATGGCACATAAAACCCCACAGTAACTCAATATTTCATAATACTATGGGAAATGCCAAAGATAGGGACAATAATACATGAAAAAAAAAAAAAAAGAAGCATTGCTTTACAAACTTAGCGCCATGCTTCATGTCTGAATTCATTGGCCCAACACACTGTGTTTACGATATCTAAAGAATAGAACTACTCCAAACTGGGAGCCACCTCTGTTGGATTGGACTCAAACACATCTGGGTTTGATTCTTCAGGTTCTTCCAAAAGTTCTCGAGTCTGGACGGATTCTTTGTATGCAGGAGTCTCCTTGAAATCCGTTGCCCCTTCATTATATGTTGCCACAGCGATCCCACAAGCAATTAACTGTAATGGAAGTGGGTAAACAGCAGAGAAAATTTAATTCCCGATCGCAAATACAATTTGATAGATTAATTCCACTAGTCTGGAGAGATTAACAAGTTACCAAGTCAATCACAGATAGATATTGAAGCATATAAAAACTCCAAAGTAGGTCTCATTGAAAACAACGTCCAAAATGCTTACATGCTTGTTTCATAAATGAGCAGTAGGCTTAGATATCCTTACCTTTAATTAATAGACTGAATCTGCCTAAAAATTGTTTTCTAGTAAGATATTACTTGACTTAGAGAACAAGTTACAACATAATGAATTCCATAAAAATCTTGACAGGTATAATAAAATTAAAGATTAAAACTTGGCTTCTGATTCTTCTGTCCATGAGCATTGTAGTAGGTAAGGACAAAAATGTAACATAATTGGGTTCAAAAATACGTTAGTTTGAGGATTGTAGGAATCTGTTTAAAAGCATTTCATCCATTCTCAAGCACAAATAAAGAATGACCCTCCTAAGCCTATGGCATGTGGGTTTAGTGGGAACCTATGCTGATCTTTACATGTCAAGAATTCAATTCCCACCACTTCCCTTCCAGCCCAAAAGACAACATCATGGCAAATGATGGGAGACTGAAGGCTTTAGTAATGTAAAATCAAATGATAATAAAGCCCTTCAGTGTCATCTTCCCTTCATTTAGTTTTATTAAAGATAGTACAATGATAATTACATGTTTTCTTGCTGAAATATTATATTCGGCTTACAAGTAATTTATTTGTCTCCCTCACTTGCTCAACTTCTGAACAATGAATTAGCACTTGTCTTTCCATTCAATTCTAAACTTCCAAACATATCCTAAGTTTATTTATTATTCAACAGGGTCCTTCTAAGCGGGTTGAGTTGTATCATGTGCATCATCAGTAGTAAGCTGCACTTATTAGGATTTTCTTTAGGCGAAAATGCTTCAATTATTAAACTAACTAACATGTGAATGCCAGATTAGTGTATTTGGACATTCGAATTTGTTTGGTCAGTGTAGTACGGTTTCCTGTTTACTGTTTTTTCTTTTTTTCTTTTTTTGTTGACTTGCAGTATCAGCCGGCGGGTTTGTTGAATGTCTAAAGCATTTTTAGGGCCAAATAGAAAGGTGTAAAATTGAGTTGTATCTGACTCCGAAGCACCTAACACAATTCCCTAATGCCTAATTAGTTTTCAGAAAATCTGAAAAAACAAAACTTCATTCCATCAACAAACACAAGAATGAAATAAAGAAGTAAAGAACTAAGCAAGCAGAATCAAGAAAAATTCGAAGATCATACCGCGAAAACAATACCGAAGGCCCACAAATACTGCACGAAAAAGCCGAGACCATCCCACTGCGGGCCTTCCCAGAAGTCCGGTTTGTCGCCGGGAAGCTCCGGCAAGAAATAGCCGTCATCGGCGTTATCAACGACGTCTTGAATCTCGTCGGCTCTCTGGTCTTCTTGGTCTTCGGTGGTGACAGAGCCCCTTCGGCTCTTATCCAACCTTCCAGTACGGGGCGAAAACCTCTTTGCCGAAACTATGTGAAGTTTTCTAACAGAGAATGGGAGAGTGAAGTGAGAAGAGCGAATGACGGAGGTGTATGGAGCTCCGATGGATTGACCGGAGAGGATTCTAGCACCGCTACAACTACAACTACCTGTGGCCAACGCCATTAGACAAGGGACACAAAGCTCAGAAGCCACACCAGCACCAGTACTTCTTGCGGATAAGAGGAATAAGAACGTTTGCGGTCCGATTATCGGGTCCAAATCCGCGTAAGGTTATGGGTCGGTTTATCTTAACCCAATATGATACCTAACGTCCAGTTGAATCATCGGGTCCAGATCATATCTGCTAAGAAATTTATGTACGAATTTATAAAAATTTGGACTTTGCAAACGTTGAAATTCTATTATGTTTTGAAAAATTAATCATTAGTGTCCCGAAAATTAATTATAATTCGATTATAACTCTGTTCATAAAACATTGGATAATTATATAATAGCCAAGGGAACAACAGATTGAACGGTTAAAAGCACAAGTTATAGAGACTAAATAATTAGTATTTTATTTTTAATGCTAAAAATATAATTAATTTTTGATGATGGAGTTGGGTTGAGAAGGTTTAATGAGTCAAGAATATTTTAAAACAAATATTATGAAACGCCAGGAAAATAGAATTTATATGAGTTGTATACGAATATAAAAATTATTCTTCCGGTCCTTCATATAAGACCCATTTAACTAATTTGATTAGATTAAAAAAGTTATGTAAGTTAGTTAATTATAAGAAAAGTGACACATTTTTCCTAAAACACCATAATCATCTTTCTTAATACCTCATCTCCCTCTTCTACTTAATTATGGTTGAGGGAGTATTCATAGGGGTAATTTAGAGAAAATTGATAAATATGATAAATGGATCTTATATTTAAGACTAAAATCAACTCAAAAATTAGGTTTTATATTAAGAACAAAGAGAGCAATAAAAATATCAAAAAGATCGAACCGATAAGACATGGGGATGCGCTAACGTTTAGCACGGAGGAAAGTGGCCAGATTGTGACGTTAAGGCCCCGACGCGAATGAAGACATGGACACCCAAAATGATTGGCCTCAAAATAGTAGCCGGTGGCTGAATGATTGTGGTGATCTGATAACAACACTTTTATTTATTTACAAGAAAATAAAATATTATTTGCCAAAAAAAAAATCTAATATTGCCACTTGTTTCTCCAAAGTAAAATGCCCATCACAGGTTATACCGCGATAGTGTCGATATAATGACAAAGATTTAGTTCCTATTCAGGAAGCATTTAGAACACCCGATTTTTCACAAGTCATGTGTATTATAAAATTACTTTTAAAATTATGATTTAGTTTTTATTTAATTATGTTATTTTTAAAACGTCCTATTATTATTCCAAATAAACCCTTAAATAATTATCTTTTTCTATACCCATATTTAGCTCTCTTGGTCCTAATCATTTAATTAAATAAAAATAAAACTTTGATTGAATATTCTATTTATGTTTCAAGTTCAATTATTGTTGTTAGGATTTTTTCAAAAAAAAAATTAGCCAATTGCTGTCCATAATTGTTAGGCGCGCCACACAAAGTGGTTGGGTCTCTGAATCATAGTTTCCGGACGGTGGACGCCACCACCATCATGGCGACCCAACCCAGTACAAAAGAGATATCATAAAAGATATGACCTTCTCTTTTTTGGGCATGTCAAAGATATGAACTTTAATCCAACCCCCCACGTCACATCCATCTATTAAATATCAATATCTATTTACTGATGCGACGTCAATTATAAAAAAAATTAAACTACTCAAATGCTTTTTAACTGGGCCGATCGAGTTTAATTTTTTGAATTGACTGCCAAAATATGATCGAATCTTTCCTCCGCTTCCAGATTCACCTTCATTGTTTGGCAGGTTGATTATTGTCCTGTCCTTGTCAAGCGTTCGAGCATATTTATTTATAATTATAATTTCATATTTGATTTTCATTTAATGATTTTTGGTTTAAGAAATACGAAAATGGAAAGCAGAGTACAAGAACAACGAAGAAATGCGGAGCTAAGGTTGAGAATTAATGCAACAAGAAAACTGTAATGAACGAATCTGAGAACTAATCTACTTGTCAAATTTTTCAGAACATCCAAATGAACAAAATAATTAATTCTAGAGTTTTCACATCTGCCACCTACATTTTCTGTGCTCCTTTTCCGTCTTCATCTTCATATGGATTTACATTTTCCATGGTATGAACAAAACATTAAAACCCTCCCGGAAACGTTTCGGCAAAAGACACCACAAAATCTTGCCGCCGCCGGAACGTTCCCTGACATCCTCCTACAATCCTACATCGCCTGTAGAGACTCCGACCACCACAACACATCACCGGCATCGGCGTGATCAAACAACCCATCGAGGGTAACAAAACCGCCGCCGTTATCCTCGGGGCCATACTCAACGAACACGCCATTTCCATACCCGAGAACCTCGTACTGCGGAATATCATCTTCGAACCCCATGAACCCGCTCAGATCGATACCATCCGGCCCGACCCGACTGAACCCCTCGGTAAACGACTCCGGCTTGTCCTCCTCGGGGGGAGGCGTCACCGTAGGTGGCAACCCGAGTTCGTCGTCGGACGCTTCCAGAAGATGCTGCAAATCACTCGACTCGTGAACCGGGTTAGAATCCCCCAGATCCGAAGCCGGGGCGAGTATTTCATCCTCGAAGCTCTTAATTACAGAGTCGAGACCCTGCATCGTCGGGTCACGCTCCGCGGCATTTTCAGAGTCTTCAAGGATGTTCATCAACAAATCATCCTCAATCTCCGTAGCCCCGGCCGATTCCAGAGGAACCGCGGCCGTGCCCGAGTCAGCCTGGCCGAGTTCATCACCCACCGAGTCATTCGACGATTCCGACGAGTTCGTCCGAGTAAGGTGAGACTCGGACGAGTTCACATCCGAGTTGGAGTGAACCCGGGAGATCTTAGACTCATGCAAGTCATCATCGAACTCGGACGAGTCATCCCGGACTCGCTTCCTCGTGTCGGCACAATCATCCACCATGGTAACAGGAAAGAGAAGAACAAAGACCGGGTTTGGTTTAGAGAGCGGCAAAGTGAAAAGGGGGGAGAACAGAGAATCGCGTTGGGGAGAACAGTGATTGTGGGAGAGTGAGAGAGAGCATATAGAGAGAGAAAAAAGAAGGGTTTGGGTGAGAGGAAAGAGAAAGGGGGGAGGGTATATATAGGAGAGGGAAAAGTAGGATAGGGTTTGTATAAGGAAGAAAGAGACAGGGGCGTGTAGGGCGGAAGGAAGGCTTTAATTAAAAGCTGCGTCACGGACGTCTCTTCCCTCGCATCGTACTCTCTTGCTTTTCATTATAACAATAAAATAATAAATATTACTCCTCCGGTCCTTAATATAGGACCCAATCCTTGAGTTAGTTTTGGTTCTAAATATAAGACCCATTCCTCATATTTATCAATTTTCTCTAAATTACCCCTATAGATACTCCTTCAACCATAATTAAGTATAAGAAAGAGGAGGGGTATTAAGAAAGATGGTTATGGTATTTTAGGAAAAATGTGTCACTTTTCTTATAATTAACTAACTTACCTAACTTCCTTAATCTAATCAAATTAGTTAAATGGGTCTTATATTAAGGACCGGAGGAGTATATCTTTATTATTAATATTAATTTATTGGCGTGTCGTGAGTGTTGCGTTGGGGGTGTGACTTTTTTTAAATGGAAGTTATGATTCTTTTCTTTTCCTTTGCCTTTTTCTTTGTGCTCATATCTGGAAATTAACTAAATTTAAATGTGGGAGTGAAGTCCGGAAAGGGGGGCCCACCGACACAAGCGAAATGAAATGAAATCATGTGGTTGGTTTTTACTTTTTTTGAAACTCCCTTTTTTTTGTTTTTGGGGTGTGTTTGGAATTTAGGAAGAAGAGTTGTCCTGTCCCTGGTCATGGTCAGGCCACCACCCACTGGTGGAGCGCTATTCCTGCATTTCCCCTCCTTTTTTTTTTTAACTTTTTGGGGTGGGTTTGACAAATTGTTGCTATTTTCGAAAGCAAAAGGTTTTAACTTTCTTTTTTGGCAAACTCGGTTGTTGCACTTGGAATTGAAAAAGATATTAATGAGTAGTCTCTATCTAACTTTATATTACTTGTAATTGTTAATATAAAAATTTAATTTCATATTCAATTTATTGTAAATAAAAAATCTCAATTTACTTTATTTCTTATATTTATCTATCTTTTAGTATAGTTATTGTAATAGTTAACATATTAAAGATTTTATTGAATAATAGTCTTAGCTAATATATATGATCAGTAAGAATATTTAGAAAAGATAACACTTATTTATTATAAATAATTAATCTAATTAATTTTTTTAGTATTTATATGTAATCTTTAATATAAGGACTGGTTTGACTTTTAATTTAGTTTTAAATATAAGGTTTAAATTTATTTTGTCTATCATATTTATCTATTTTCTCTAAAATAATCATTGTAAAAGTTATATATGTTAAGGGTTCCATCAAATAGTAGTTCTAGCTAATACACATAATAAGTAAAGATATTCTCTGAAAAAAATATATATTTATTATAAATAACTAACTTATCAAATTTTATTAATTTATTTTAATTAATTAATTAGTTCCTGTAACAAGAAAAGTGCATTAAAAAATGTTTATATATAAAGATATAATTTTGGTGTATTTGACCCACCACACCAGCACTCATTCAATGCAAGCAAAGGGAAACCTAAATAAGATTCCACCGTCGTTGGTTTGTGTTGGAGAGTTTCTCGTATTGTTGGCGGGATATTTTGTTGAGATCATGTTTGTTTGACGAAAGTTAATAAATTTTCTCCAGGCCTCGAACCTTCCCCCCTCTCTCTCTTCCTTGTCTTTCTACTTTTCTTTACCACTTTTTTTGGTTTAGGGACACGGCTTCCTCTTAATTAACTGAGATAAGATAAGATTTAGTTTTGATAACTTGTGTTCTTGACTTTATTAGTATCAGCTTCCAGAAGATGATAATTTAATTTGAAAAATATTAATACAAATTACTGATTACTATAACACTCCTGGTTGGTCATAGAAATAAACAAAAACCGAAGAACCATTTGACTCTTTATTGATAACTATTGCGAAATACTTTTACTTTGCTCTCATTTAGGTTTCTCGCTTAGTGATTAAGAAATATCATAATTAGTATGTTATAATTTTCTGGGAAAAACATGTTTCCTTCTATTCTTAATATAAAAACCACTTAACTAGTTTGGGTCAATTAAAAAAAATCATATAAATCAGTTAGTTAAAACAAGTATTGTGTGATCTTCCTAAAATATCTATTTATAATGTTAAATTGTGTATCAATTTGCTTGATTAGTTGAGAAAAAATTAAAAAATATATATCTTATATTTATGATTAAATTCAATTCATTAATTAACTTTTATATTAGGAAGGCTGTCACTAATTTACTTCAGACATTTTTGTAATTATCTCTCTTCCTAATGAATTACATTTACCAAAGATAAGAGGCTAATTAAAAAGATTGTAATGGTGCCTTAAACCTTTCAAACGAAAGGAATGCAAACAGGAATTTTTCTCTGGTGTAACTATAAAAAAGAAACAAAATCAACTATTCAAAATTACAGGAATCAAAATTAAAATTGCATAAAATTATATGCTTTTTTGAAACTTTTTATGTTAAGTGATTATATATGTGTGTGAATAAGCTGAGACGAAATTTTAGTTGAAAAATTACTTTTGAAGAACATCAGTGCCATTTCAAACAAACACATGATAAGGACCAACAATGGTATTAGTCCGAGAAAATAATACTCCTCCGGTCTTTATTATAAGACCCAATTTGACTTTTTATTTGGTCCTAATTATAAGACCCAATCCATTTTGTCTCTTATATTTATACATTTTTTTCCAACATAATCCTTCTAATAATGATAGTTTTAGCCAATATACTTAATTAGCAAGGATATTTTAGGAATGACAACACTTATTTATTATAAATAACCAACTTAACTTACTTCCTTAATTTCCTCAAATAAGTCAATTGGGTCTTATAATTAGGACCGGAGGAGTATATATTTTTATATGATAAAAACAACCTATACAATTAATTTTTACTTTTCTATGAATCAATTAACCTGGGTTTATATTTAAAATTAAAGGAGCACGAGATGCTAATAACAGGTACATTAGTTTGTTATTTTGGCCGGTTTGTTTCTAATGCCGGCTTTAATGTCTTGAATACTCCCTCCGTTCAAAATATAAGATAAACCTTTTTTCTTTATAAAATAATATTTACTTCTGTTCAAATATTTAATGGGGTTTTTCTAATTTTATCCCTATATATTCTCTCATCTTTAATTTATTTGTTACATCTTTTATTTATTCTCTTCATTAATAAGAGTATATTAAAAAAAACAAATATATATTTTACATATTTATTATTTTAAATTAATTTTAATTATTTTTTGATAAATATAATAGATAAAATTTAGTTTACATTTTGAGCCGGGAGTATTGGAGAAACCATTAAACCCACGTGATTGGTCCGTGCCACGTGGTAGCTGAAGAAGAAAAAAAAAACATGATAAGATTGGACTCTTCCAAAATGACTGTTCAAATTAAGATCAATTCTTCTGGTTTTATCAAACCAAGTCGCCAGGAAATAATAAGATGCCAGTTGACAGATCCGCCCAGCGGGCCGCACCCCCCAGCCAAATAGTCAAATACTGGTTGTGCCACCACGTAACCCTAAAACTAGATATAAAATCCGTTTAAAATAACTTATAAATACTTTTTTAATCTTAATTTACAAAATACAAAATAAATATATAAAAAGAGTTTTATTTCAATTTATATAAAATATATTTATAAATAATCTTAATCGTAATAACAAACAAGACTATAGTTTTATGAGATGGAGCATTTTACTATTTTAGTTTACGAGAGAGTTTGGCCACCTTTCATAAGTACTTACCTTTAAATAATTGGAAACAGAATTTTTTTATACATTTATTTCTAGCTTCATTAAAAAAATTTTTTGCCAACCCATAGAATCACTTTAAAAAAACCTTAAGTGATTTTAGGTTTAACAAATTTATCTCATGAAACAAAGAAATAATTATTTATTTAAGAAATCCTAGCTACTATTTATTACTCCTCCGGTCCTTATTATAAGATCCAATTTGACTTTTTATTTGGTCCTAATTATAAGACCCAATCTATTTTATCTCTTATATTTATGCATTTTTTTCCAAGATAATCCTTCTAATAATGATAGTTTTAGCCAATATATTTAATTAGCAAGGATATTTTAGGAATGACAATACTTATTTATTATAAATAACCAACTTAACTTACTTCCTTAATCTCCTCAAATAAATCAATTGAGTCTTATAATTAGGACCGGAGGAGTACTTATCACCACCTAGTGATCTTGAGCCACCCTACCCGCAACAAACGGCTCGTTTAAAATGATTAATAAATGATTTTTTAATTATAATTTATAGAATATGAGATAAGTATATTAAAAAATTATCTTAATTTACATAAAATGTATTTATAAACATAATTTTGAATGGAGCCCAGATTGGATTATAACTGCTTAACAACGTAAAATAAGTTGTGAAAAAAAAAATCATTTTTCAGATACCCATATATCAAATTAAAAAAAATTCTGTATACTTGCAAAATAGTCTTCACGAAACAAATGCTACTGATTTGTAGTGTCAACATTACAACTTACTAAAGTATTTATATTTCTTAAATTTCTTTTTAATTGACATCTGAGCAAAAATTTTTATTTTATTATATTCATATTTTACGTGACACATAAAAAGAAATTGAGGGACTATAATTTGCAGATTTTAAAAATAAATTTAAAAACACATGAATAATTACTCCCATTATATTCATATTTTAAAATTGTTATTAAAAGTAAACAAAATGAGAAAGAGATAAAAATTTTCAAATATTATTATTTAAGGTAAGCAAGATTAAAATAATAGAATCTTCTCCACTGTTTCATGCAAAATTTAATAATACAATTGAATTATACCACATCCAATTCTTAATATAAGAACTAACTTAACTATTAATTTGATCCTAACTATAAGACTCGAATTCATTTTATTCTCATATTTATCTATTTTTTCAAGGTAGTCCTTATAATA